TCGAGTATGCTGAACAACGATCAAAAGAGAGTTCAAACATACATGTCATGTAAGAACTCGTAAGTTGCAATATGCAAAGTAGTCCTTTAACCTGAGGCATCATAGATGTCTAATAGTTAGGTCCTTGATCTTTGATCATGTCAAAGGCATTCCATTGAGAGTGTCCACGGCATTGTTGGGGTCAAGCTATCTAGTCATGTAGGCATATGAATGCACAACAAAGGATCTATAACCTTCCATGGTGGAAGGAGAATACTCTAAGATATGATTTGAGAGTCATTGACCAAAGCATATGAATATGACTTAGGAAATTTGTTCCAAATCATATTCAATTGAATTATATAGAGAAGTATCACATTGGATAGTAGACATGAAACAAACTATCATTCAAACAATGTGATTAAGAGTATTGTATTAGAGAAGGACCGTATTGCGTTGTAGTTGTAACTGGATAGGTTCTCCAACCAATTCTACTTAGCTTGGGTAACCATGACATGCTGCTAGGTGTCACTCATGATTTGTGGAAGCCCTGAAGATTAACAAACACTAATCTTAATCAAAGGGAGAATTGAAATGTAGTTTCAATTCATAATCGATCGTTAAGAGTAACAATCGCCCACTGCCTCGCTAATTGGAACCTAATGGATCGTACACCGAGTAAGGATGAAAGTGAAGAAATATAAATGAAATGGATATGCAATTAAATGGTTTAATTGAAAAATGGTCAAGATTAATTAATTCGTTAATTAATTTAACGAAAGGTTCGTATAGGGCTTTTAAGTTGGTTTTGGGTTTCGGGGCCCAAAAGTGTTTTGGTCCACAAGGCCCATTATGTTCAAGTTGTATGACAACTAAAACAAAATGGGCAATAAGCCCAATCATTTAAGTAAGGCCGGCCATAAGGGTGATGGTTGCAAACTTGGATTAATTACAAGTTTGCCACTCACTTGAAATGAAGTATAAAATCAACTTTATAGCCTTATTTCTCATTAGGGTTTTCTTGAGGCAAAGAGGTGAAATACTTTCTCTCTTTTTCTCTACAAGGAGGCCGGCCACTTAGAGAGGATTTAGCTAGCAATCTTTTCTTCTCTAAGTCATCCATTTCATCTTCACACCTCATCCTTGGTGTGGAGACTTAGAGACACCAAACCTTTGGTGTTTTTGGAGATCCTTTCCTTACATCCTCAAGGAGCAAAGGAGCACAAAAAGGGAAGGAAATCACAAGGAAGATCCAAGGAACTAGGAGGTGACTTGAAGGCCCTCCACTTGGGTGAATCCCTTGTGTAAACAAGGATGAGCTTCAAGGGTAATAAATCTCTAAATCTTACCTTCTCTTTAATGTTGTTAAAGAGTCTTATGGTTCACCATTCACTAGGCTTTGAAAGTCATGGGTTTTAGAATTGTTTTTTAATGCATGCCTACTTTAATGTGTTAATAGTTTGCATATGTGTTCAAATATTCTCACATGTTGTAAGTTAGGACAAAATTTTTCCTTCAGGTGGCCCATATCACTTTTTAATAAAATGAACACATTTCCTTTTTAGTCTCACACACACATGTTTAATTTAGACTAATACTTTTGTTTGATTTATTCAATTTGACTGCAAAAATAATAAGGAGCATATAAGAGACTATAAGAAATGTGCGAAAATCATCTTCCTTCTGTGAGTTTTAATTACTATAACGAATCTAAAATTTGCAAAAGAAAAGAAATGGGACTTGGCCCCAAACCAAACCGGCCCAAATTAGATTGGTTTGATTTTTTTAATGACTTTTGTTAAAATTAAATCAAATAAACTTTTAATTGTTCTTTGGATTGATTTTTTCTTTTTTTCTTCTTTCAAATAAATGATATTATCTTCACTAAAGGATTGGGAAGTAGGCTAAAACCTCACAATGGACTATCAATAATGTGGTTCAAATTTGTCTTTAACGAGAATTGAACATAAGACCTCACTTACAAGTGAAAAAGAACAACACTAGACTGTAGTACTAAGTGTCTTACTATTCCTTCAAGTGTCATTCTTTGGATTGAATTAGAACAAAAGCGACAACATGAAGAGTCTTACTATTCCTTTTTAGACTTGACGCCACCCAATTACGCATATCTCTGAAGCTTACTTAACCTAAACATATTTAGATTCCGATAAATATTGAAAAATCACTGAAGTGACACTATAAAACTTGGGGAACACTACGAAAGAATATGAAGCACATGAACAAAAAAAAATTGAATTATTTTAGCTATTGGATTGAAATTTGAGCCATTAGATGATTTCTTTTATTTTTTTTTACCTTTGGATTTGATTATATTAGATATTAGCCATTGGATTCAATGAATTATAAATATAAAACTAAAAAAATACACATATACGATGGGCCAGCCTACTAACTTGGGTGGAATCTTGGCCTCAATTTGCCCCAGAAAAGAGTTTTTAGTTAAAACTCATATTTGGCCCAAGGGTTGAAGCAAGGTGGGATGAGTTTAGAACCTAAATTTGAGTTTTATTCTAAAGGTTGGAGTAGGTCATATGACCACTAAAGATTCCTAAACCCTATTTTATATTCAGATTGTCCCCAGTTTGCCCACTATTTTTGGCATGTCCATGACAACAAGGCTCCCTCTTTTTAATTCTTCTTTGAATCGAATAAATGATGTAATTAAGTAATCACTTAACTCTAACTTTGCAATTTTCTTTGGACAAAATACAATGAATTAGCTTATATCATTTTTTTTGTTTATATTTTCTTTAATGGGGTAAGATTGTTTACTGTTGAAGGATTTGTATTTTTATATGAGTTTTTGTTATTATAGTCTATCCTTATATTTCTGCAAGATTGACCCTCTTTGAGATAATTTATGACTCTGCTGCCACTGTGTTTATTTACAATGAATTTAGCTATGTGTTGCTACCAAATAGCTACTTACAAGCAAATATTTCAACAACTTTTTAATAAGATTGTGATACAATGATGGTGGCCCGTATCACTTTTTAATAAAATGAACACATTTCCTTTTTAACCTCATACACACATGTTTAATTGAAACTGATATTTTTGTTTGATTTATTCAATTTGATGGCAAAAATAATAAAGAACGTGTAAGAGACTATAAAAAATGTGCGAAAATCATCTTCCTTCTGTGAGTTTTTAATTACTATAACAAATCTAAAATTTGCAAAAGAAAAGAAATTAGACTTGGCCTCAAACCAAACCGGCCCAAATTAGAGTGGTTTGATTTCTTTAATGACTTTTGTTAAAATTAAATCGAATAAACTTTTAATTGTTCTTTGGATTGATTTTTTTTTTCTTTCAAACAAATAATATTATCCTCACTAAAGAATGGGAAAGTGAGCTAAAACCTCACAATGGACTACCAATAATATGGTTCAAATTTGCCTTTAATGAGATCGAACCTAAAACCTCTCACTTACAAGTAAATTAGAATACCACTAAACTGTAATACTAAGTATCTTACCATTCCATCAAGTGTCATTCTTTGGATTGAATTAGAACAAAAGCGACAACGTGAAGTGTCTTACTATTCCTTCTAGCGTCTTTCTACTCTCCATTTATTTACTATTCCCTCGCCATGACCTCTCCCGCATCCTTATCAGTCGGAAGGCAGTGGAGGACAGCCCACAACCAAGGGAGCAATTCCGTCGAAAATCCCTAAAGCCATCACCTGTACAAGTTGGACTTATTTTCATCATAAGTTTAAACATTTTAAACTGGAAATATAGGCAGGCATGTAACAAAATTTCATTCGTATGGAATGCTCATGGGGTTCGTTCAATTAGTAATATGTTTGGTTCGGGGGAATATCAGCCACCTATGAATACAAAACAACCAAAACAAATCTCAAAACTTGCATCACTCACTCATGTCCTCAATTCCTTCAAAATCACTACCACCATCAAGGGTGCCATCGGATTCCTCTTCCTCTTCATTCTCTTGATCAGTTTCCATGGCTTCCTCAGATCCCTCTCCATCACTTGTATTGGACTCATAAATAAATGGAGTGATTGTCTCGTTCTCATTGATGCGAAAATTAACTTAACACACAAATTAAACCCTCTTTTGACAATTGTAGTATATGTATAAGTAGGGATCATTCTAAACCGGGGATTAGGAGGGCTTGCTAAAACCTTTAAATTGACTCAAAAACATAAAATCAAAGTTAAAAACGTTTGAATAGACTCAAAGGACTCAGAACAGGTTAACAAGACTCAAAACAACTTAAAAACACTCAAAACTGCCTAAAAACACCAACTAGGCAGTTTCTGACTCTAAAAACAACTTTGGACGAATTTGGGGTTTTGGCTTGACTCAAAACACTAAAAAACACAACAAAACAGATTTTGAACACTTCAAGACAAGAAAGTAAAGAGGGGGTTTGTTTTGAATGAAATTAAAATAACAAAATGGATTGCAACTTAAAAACAGATTAAGAAACGATTTTGGGAAATTAGATGGATGATAGGCTAGCTAGAGGCTCTTTATCCACACATGACATGTATGCAAACGAATTAATTTCCAGTAACTCCTTCATTGAATTATGAACGACAATACTTCAAATTAACCATGACATCACTAGTTAACCCTCAGATTTTCCTTGTATTATTGGATTGGATGACATCATTCGACAACCCAAAGCATTCTTCAAAAGTTCCCTACATGACATCATAATAGAGATACCATAAAAAATCATTATGTTCAATGAAAATTATAAACATTGACAAAGCACTTGTAACTATGACATCATGTCACTCATGCTAGGAATTAAACTTAACACGATTGTGACCAGCGACCTTCACTATATATGAATATAAGTTTGTAATGATTATATGAAACTTCCTTATACTCTAGCACCAGATTTATGCATGCCAATTAACTGTCGACCCTCAACCAACAAACACAAATAAGTTATCAATCAAACAGTTAAGCCAATTGCATTCACGACTCAATAATTCATAACTGGAATTTATTAACTCATATTGCACACATAATCATGACTTTGAAATTACTCCTAGCCAAGAGGGGTAGTTCCTCATGTTCACAAAATAAAGATACATAAACTTAAACATTGAAAACAAAAGATAGATTACACCTAAGAATGATCCAGCAATCCAAACTTGAATAGCAAGCATTCCAAGGGTCCTCATTCTTCTCTTTGTTGCGGCACAAGGTTTAGGGTAAGGTTAAGGTGGTGATTTATATGGAAGAAGGCTAAGAAGATGAATGGATGTGTATGGATGAAGGTTGGCTGCGGCAAGGAGTGTTTGAATGTGTTTAGGGTATGATGAATGGTGGTGAATGGTGTGAGTAGTGTAGAATGGTCCACGGGTGATAGAGGATGGATCAATAGATAAGTAGATGGAATGGCTGATTTATGGTGAAGGGTGGATAGGTGGTCTTGCGGCAGAAAGTGTTTATTTATAAGGATGAGAAAGTCCTAACCCTAATTAATTTTGGGAAACATAATTTCAGCCCAAATCCACAAGGAAAAGGAGTAATTAAGGTCAGAATCCAAAAGGAAAAGGAATGTGGGGTGCGGCAAAGCAAGGGAGAAAGGGAAAGAGGGTACACGGCAAGGACTTTGACTTTCTAGAAAGAATTGGTGCGGCTCCCTTGTTTGAATAGGAGAATCAGATACTTAAGTGTCCTAAAATATTTAGAACACCTCTTTGAAGCTGGAACATAGGTGAATTAGGATTAGGAAAGGTTAGGACCAAATAAGGTAACTTGGCTAACATTCCTTCTTTCTTGATTGCATCTTTAACTTCATTTTCTTTGAATTAATTTCTTCATAACTTCAGCATAATCATAGTCTTTTTTGGTCTTCAATTTCGTCCATCCTCTTGCTCCATGCATGTGATATTCATTCCAAGCCCAAAACTGCTCCAAAAGGCACCAAAATGCACTTTCTTGCCACTTTAGCCCTTTAAACCTACAAACACACGAAAATAGCTTGAAATACTAAATTAACTAAGAAATAACAACATAAAGACACAAGAACAAGCTAACTAAGTCGCATAAATACGCTCCTATCACTCATCAACATCATCAATTACCAAAAGCTTGCATTAACTAGGTATTGAAGAATATTTCACTTGCCATAAATTTCACTAACACTGGCACCCTTACCCCTGTATAATGCACGTCTAAGACACTCGATAGCTGAAGAGCCGACTGGAAAGTTGAAACTCTGGACTCAATGAGCTACATAGTCAATAAAAAATTCAATGAAAGGAAAAGAACTATCAGGATTTCTTACGACAAAGAGATAAAACAATCCATACTTGCAACTATCTCTTAAACAAATGAGGAAATGAAAATTCCAAAAACTAACTAGTGATACAAGTAGCGCATGAACATGTTGCTCCCGCAGGTTTAAATTTTATATTCTATGGAGTAATTCTAAAATTCTAGATGGCTCTTTCTTGAACGAAAATTTTACTTTGGGATACGGGATATCATCTTATATTAAAAGTTTCTTACTTAATATAAGGAGTTCAAGACACTCAAAGAAGATTCTTGGGATACTATGCCACTTGCGAGTTGAAGAAGTAAACTTCTAAGCCATGGAAGTGCACATGCCTAAATTGCACCCCTAGAGTCAAAATAAAGCATACAAATCCGTTAGGTATACCACAAGAGCATCCAGCATATAAAGCATACCGCTAGATATCTTTCCTTGACTGAATGATAGAAATGAGAGATTGTAAGAGCTTCAAAACACCAGATGGATTCAACTGTGAGATGGATTTTGCAATGACCTAAACCACCAGTTGTATCATCCACATTAACACTTATCTTCATGCATAAGTATTATATAACCAATATGAACTACGAGAGCTACAACCTTCTCATCTTGGGTGTATAAGCAATCTAATAAAAGGGCACAGTCATTGGCATGTAGTGCTTTCTTGAGTAAAACATGAATTGAGTCTGCACTTAGAGGCTTTGGATCGAGAGAAGATTCTTCTTTATCATGGCTCTCTGGTCTAGCATTGTCTAATAAATTTAAACTTCCAAGTTTTTCTCCCATGGTTGGTTCATTCAAGTCATCATCAACAAGAACTCCATCTGCATCCTCCACATGACCTAGATGAATTAGGGTACACATATCAACATACCAAATGCTCAAGACGTATTTTGTTCACAAACCACTGTTTTTCTAACTAAATTAAATAATTTGAAACAACTATGAAAGCATGTAATCAAATAATTATGCTATTGTAATTTGAATTTCAATAGTACACAAACAGGAGTATCCTTTCGTATTTCTACTTTGTTTTATCCCCATCTTGAACGTGATGCGGTTGAGGACAGAAACAGTATTTCCAAATCTCAAAGTGTGCTTCTTGTTCTGTCTCAAGCATAGGAAAGTCTTACCAATTTCAAGGATGTCTTTGACAGTTGGAGGATTCGAATCCGGTGCTGTAGCACGCTTATTACTGCCCTTTTTAGACTTGATTGGCAAATCTTCTGGTTCTAATTTCAAATCATGAACATCAGTGAGAAATCATACAAAGTTTGAGTTAGAATCTCTTGAACAGAGAATTACTCGAGAAGTGCTTCCATAGTAGCTGATAATCATCATACAAAACAAAATCAACTTTGAAATCATTCAGAGTTGATCGTCCTACGTACTAAACAATAAATCCAATAACCCTTTAATAACAAGTACATTAACTAATACACGAGAAAAAAGAAACACTTGTTCAGCTGCTTAAAAAAGATCGGTTCCAATGAAAAAGTCAAGATTTTTGAAACCACCCAATTACGCATATCTTCGAAGCTAACTTAAACATTCAGATATATGTGATGGTATAAATTTCACTAAACTAACCAAGAAACATGAATTAATAATTTGAGTTTAGACTTTTAAGGTAGGTTCATTCATTCAAAACACCGTTAACAAAGATATCATTTGCAGCCTCCCTAGAAACTAGATGGATTAGGGTACATGTATCCACAAACCAAATGCTCAAATATCTCTCAGATGGAGTTCCTAGTTCTGTGTCATGTACAAGAACATTACCAATGTCAACCATGCCATTATCTTTAACCATGTCTTTTGCACGTGCCTTGCTTCCCTTTTTACTCTTCATTGCCGGAGCTTCAGCTTCTAGATCTTATCCCAAATCATGAAATTACCAAGTTTCGGTTAGAATCTGTAAAAACACAATTATTCAATATTAGCTCACTAACACCACACGAAAGAAAACAAACTGATTCTGACGGTTTCGAATTAAAAACCCTAACCTGAAGAAGGAGAAGGAGAACAACGAGGGTGTGCTGTGGTGGCGTGGCGGTGGCCTTGCCGGGCAGTGACGTGATGTTGGTTGGCCTGAACAAGGAAAACAACGATGTTGGTGGCGTGTTATTAGTTCAGTCGAATGGGGAGGGAGGCGGAGAGAAATATACCCAAACCCTAAAACCCTTAATCACTGATTCAGAGTAACAAGGTCTACTGCAAGATGATAGAACCTACCCTTTAAAGGACGAAACCCTCCACGTGTTGATGATCGCTGCACGTTTTCTTTTCCATTTGTTTTGGTTTTTTTTTTCTTGGCTTTCACTTCTCTGTTTGTCATTTTCCGCTTTCTTTCTTCCGTTTTCAGCTTTAGTTTTCTCTCGACTCTCTGCGTCGTCGTGTTTTTCTTGCAAATTGTTAACGGAGCAGGTTGTGTTGTTGGGAATTATAGGTACAAGTTTGTTCTGTTGTAAATTGGTTTCATGTTGAAATTTGTTTTCTTTCTTATTTTGGGTGTTCATTTTGTAGTCTGGGGTTTTATATCTGTCTGTCTAACCCCTTTTTGTTTTCAGTTTCAGCAAATTCAGCCTTCGTGGGTTTTGTTTTGTTGCTGGGTAATTAAGGCATTAAGGGTGTAAGTTTGTTTTCTTCTTTGCTTCAGTCTTGATACAATCTTTTGGCATTTTTATATGTTTTGGTTGTGACTTTGGAATTATGAATAAGTTATGTCTTGAGTTTTTTTTTATTTTTTTTTATTTTTTTTATCATTTTGGGATTTAATTTTATAGTCTTGGATTTTGTGTGTGGGTGTTTGATAAATTTTTCTTTTGAAATTAAGAAATTTCAGGTTTTTACAGCTTTAGAACTTTTGTTTGCAACTTTGGAAGACGTCTTTGTTAAAGGTGATAATTTTGGCTACTAGCGTTTGCGTGTTGTTATAGAGTTGAGTTGAATTTATATTTTCTTCTAAGAGTTAATGTTATATATGGTCTCTCTCTTGGTTATTTTATTCATTTTATTTGGCTTTTCGGTATTATACCGTCTGTTTTGTTAGTAGGAAGGTGTGTGAAAAGGGCATGTATATTTCACCTGTGGATTTGGTTTTTTTAGCTGTAGTCTTGGTTACTATTATTAGTAGACTAGCGGGTAAAAACTCAACCTTTTCCTCTCTATGAATGTTGATTCCTGTTTATTCAACTTAGATTAATTCCTTTTTATTTTCAAGCTTTGAATGTTGTAAACTATTTCATTTTTAAAAGTGTGAATATCAGAATACATGGGCCCATTTTCTTAAAAAATTTAAATTATCAAATGATGTCTCATGATGAATCCGGCCAAATGTAACATTCTCATTCCCTTTTTCCAACATTTAGAATGAAATTATTTTATCATGAATATTACCGTTCTTCAGTCTAGGTTTGATTCATTTAGTATTAAAGCTGATGCAAGGATTAATATCTCAATGTACCACGCAGCTATTGCCACAGTTGTCATAATTGCAGAGATTCTCAAAAACGATAGATTCGCTGTTGACAAAAGTAAGACATCTATTTTTATTTTCCACCTTTCAAAATGAACCATCAAATGATTAAGTTTACTTATATACTGCAACTTGAATACAGAAGTTATAACATCAGTTGTTGACATAAAGGATGACTCTAGCGAGAGACCAATCCAAAGAGCCAAGGTATGCCAATGTGATATTCTAATATCAAATAAATAGTCATTTGTCCTCAATATGCAGAATGTGCTGGAACTCATTCTAAAATGTCTTTAGGTTTCTCTAAAAAACTAAGGTTGTTCATGGTTAACATCTCTGTCTTCTCTCTCTAATTAAACTCTTCTCCAAGGCTTACTCCTTTTTCGGCTCTCTGATTAATCATTTTTATTGAAACTTTAATTCAGCTACAGAACCTTTCTCTCTCTATCCATATATCTATCTATCACTTTTCTTTCTGCCAATTTCTTTGTAGAATTTAATCCTCAAATTGCGATCTGAAATTATAAGAAATGGGTGTTTTCTTTATCTGTCAGTTAAATTGAAGTTACTTAATTGTTTGGGACTAATGCTTTTTCTTTTGGGATTATTTTCTTCTGGTTGTAGTTGTTTCTGAAGAGAAGAAGAGAAAGCTTTGGTTTCAGTAAAACGGTACTGACTTTCTTACCTTTTTAATAATTTTTATCTTCCGGGATTTGATTTAGATCTTTCTTATTCCCCACTTTTGTTTTACATTTCAAAATCTGTGGGGATTTTCCTTTTTTTTCTTGTATTTATTTTTCTTGAATCACATTGTATTTCAATACATTTTAAACGCTTTCTCTACATTCTTAATTTTTTTTCCTTCTATTTATTTTTCTTGAATCACATTGTATTTCAATACATTTTAAACGCTTTCTCTACATTCTTAATTTTTTTTCCTTCTATTATATTGTGTCTTGTTCTTTCAATTAGTTTTTACGTTATTTTTGTGTAGATTGGTCTGGTTTTCATGTTAAACTTGTGATTTTTATTTGATTGAAATGTAAATGTTCCCGTTTGTTATTGCTCTTGATCTTTCAATTTTTTTTTTCAAATTAGTTGAGTTGGTGTTCTTATGTGGTATACAAATTTGGGTTTAGATATGTAACTGTATAGAGTGGGTATACCTTCATAAAAATATGGCTATTTTTATTGTCAGTGATGGAAGATTTTGGTAACTAAGAAAATAGCAATTGGAAGAAGGGTTTGTTTTTTTGCACACAGTAGTAGTTTGCCTTACTCCATGACTAATAAATTCCTTTGTCGCTGAATATTCCAATTGTGAGTGCAAACTTTATAAGTTTTTGACAAGTATTTTGATACGATGATGTTCAAGTTTTTCTTTCTCAGTGTTTTAATTGTAATATGACGTTTATATCCATATTTTTCGTTTTGTTAGCTACGTTATGGTGTTCTAGACATGCCTATTTAATCTTGAATATATCTTGGATGAAAATGATGTCAGGGCTTAATGAAATTTGATAGGATCCAAAGACAATAAACTTTTACTCTAATGCTATTAATCAAAAGAGAGGAACAATTGATTTTATAACTGTGTGTGTTTTGTTTTACCATAATTATTTCATAGCTGTTCTCAGTCAAAATCACAATTTAGTTATCGTTTCTCTATCTATTTATAATATAGATAAAAAATGGATATTATGGCGTGGTTACAGAATTTGTATTTCGTTTGTATAGATTAAATGGAAGACGAAGGTCCAACTCCACTTGACCAATTAGTGGCATATAAAAAGGTTGTTTATATTAAAGTGCGTGTTTGTAGAATATGGAAACCAAAGTATCCAGGCATAGATGATAAATATACAGCATATTGGTTGAAGAAAAGGTTAGTGATCATTTATTTTGTAAAATTAGTTTATACACATTAGATCTTCTATGTTAAGGATTAGTTATTTGTTTTAATGCACACGACATGATTTTTATACTCTCTGTAGTAAAGATTGTATACAATTGATCTCTAAACTCTTTATTCTTCAATTTTATGTTGTCAAATGATACATTCGTTTTCGAATTTACTCTGTGTAATGCACAATTTTTTTTTACACGTATCCATCTCCTTTAAACTGTTAGTTACACCTGTTAATTTACTGTTGCTATTTACTATCCATGTTGTTCAGTATCTTTCATTTGCACCTATTTTCATGTTATTTCAACATAAAAGTTAGGGCCATTTACATTAAGGCCATTTACTTATCCTCAGTGTTTTGAATGTTTTTTTTTTTCTTATTTTTTTATCTCTTTCATTGTCAAGCAACAAGCCATCAAACCATTATTTGATGAAATGGATTATGAAATAATAGCTCCAATCCTCCATTTTCTACTTAATATTTATCTTAGTCTTTGCTTATTTATATGTTTAAAACATAATCTATAGTTATATTTTCACTCCCGCAACAATGTGCGGGTAAAATTTACTAGAAAAATCGAAACCGAAACTGACCAGGCCGTTTCACTTGGGTTTTTGGTTCGAATTTTTTGGTTTTGGTCAACTCAGTTTTCTTTAGGTTTTTTGCCTCGGTTTTTCAATTTTTTTCCCGACCCCTCAAACTAGCTTAAACATTAACCCAGTAGACTTCGAAGTTTTCAGGTACTTTGTGTTCCGATCTTTGTCGCTCCAAAACTATCATTTTCGTCTTGGCACTAAAAGCAACTAAACATTTTTTTACACATAACCAGTTTCTCTAAAATCTACTGGCAATGGAATTTGCAGCTTTTACTAGTCGGTGAAATGGATGGTTAAGCTATCTACAACAATAGCAAGTCTACAAAACGCATATCACGCGCTTTGCTTTCAACATCTTCTTTCGAAACTTGATAATTTAGGAGTGGCGCCAGTGGCTGCTTCGGCTGGTTCCGAGGCAGATCGGTCGGCAGAGATGGGTGTAGAACCTTGTTTTCCATATGTTGATTTTCAATACTCTTCACCTGGATTTTCCAGATGTACTGAGTCCGTGAGTCTGGTAGATCTAATTGTGTTGCTAAGCAAGTTATGGCTAATCTCTCTTTGGAGCCTAAACTGAGCTGTAAGGTTACGCTTCTGGAATCCACTAGGCGAATTAGATCTGTTCTTGTTTTTAAAGCTATGAGGAAATTTTGCCATCCTTGGAGTGGTGTTTTACCATCCCGATTTAATAAGGATTCTACTATCCTAAAAGGTTATCTCTTCAACTAGTATTAATACATCCTTCTAGGGGTCATCTCTAGTAACGCAATCACTGCACACTTGGTTTCTTGCATAGTGCTTGAGTCTCAACATTGCTTACCAACTTGAATGTTCTTTGACCGGCACACACCCCCCTCGGTCTTTGGCTTACAGTTGTGGGTTCTCTTATACGTAAACGAGTTTGAGCATCTCTAGCATTTACAACGGTGCACAAATTTGGTTCCAACACGCATTGTTTTCCATCATGGTTTTCCCGACGAAACCCAAACCCAGTTACTGGGCTTCAACCTCAACCCCAACTCTCGCCCTTTGTTTGGGCATGTTGCTCCCTCGGACCAAAACCAACTAATGCCGAGATGCTTTTTCAAATAACCCAAGCTTGGATTTGGGCTTCTCTTTTTTTACCTTGGCCAACAACCCAGCCTCTGTAGAGGTTGCCCACATTCAACCCGCACCTAATTTTGGGCCTGCTTTTATTTACTAGTATGCAATCGACATCAAATCACATGTGGGCATAGAAGAAAAAAATTATTTTGCTTCTACTGTTGACCCTTGATTGGGCTTGGTCTATTGAATTATTGATCTGTAGTCCACTTTTTATAAATTACGACCCAAAATTTTATTACATTGCTTTTAACCATTGACAACCTTGCAGGTACCCGGAGAAATCGAAATCAAAATCACTACTCATACTGGGTCCCGAAACTTTATTTCATTGTAGTCCTGAAACTACTCACACTGGGTCTCTGAAGCAATCCAAATCACTACACTAGTTGTGTATTGTATATTGTGTTCTTGCAAGTACCCATTTTTTGAAATCGAATATGAAGTTTCGAATTAGTCTTTGAAACCCAAAATTTTCATCATAAAATAATACACCCATGAAAAATTCAAAGTTATTCATGCAAATTAAACTAAACCATGTCTTAGAACCCAGACGTTCTAACTTTGATGCGTATGGAGGCTTTTTTTACTTCCAATAGCACCAACCATAATCTTGTCCCTCCATTCAATAGATTGCCGAACCTTAACAAATTTAATTTCACCGACATGGAAGTTTTTGACAGAAACTACTATGTGCAGACACAAGACATGAAACTTCACTTGACTATCAAAAAGTTGAGAATCCATTGAAGCCAACAGTGGTGTGGAAGAGCTGAATAAGCCACTATCATGATCTTCATTTAAAGACTTATGCTTGAAGTGTTACAAAAGGAAGTACCTCCCTGAAGAGGACTTCATAGCTCTCTAGCTCACTTTATAGACTGTTCAATCATGAAAGATGATCTTACTTGAAGCAAAACATGTTTGAATCCTTCAAGTCCATGAATAGGTACAATTCGAAGTTTATAAAATCCGGTTGAATTTTGGCTGAAAAGGATTTTTTCTTACCTTTCCATGTCTATAACTTTCTCCTAAAGAAGCAATGAAGAGAACAAATGTTCACCAAATTCTCAGATCGGATTACTACCACGTTGCGCGCTAAAAAGCACAATTGTGAGAGAGATGTACCTCAGTGATTCAACTTGGAGGTACCAAACAGTATAGACATAGCTTTAGTTGAAATCTACCGGACGGTATAGACCCAGCTTCGACTAGAGTCTAACGAATGGTCTAACCCAACTTTGTTTAGAGCCCACCGATGGTATGCCCTGCCTTGGCAGTGATGTACCAAAGGACACGCTTTGCTTCGACAGAGGTGTACCAAAAATAAGGCTCTACTTTGGCAGGCACTTGCTAAATCTACTCATCCAGGTTCAGTTGAAGAGTACAGAACTTACCCGCCCAGGTTTGGATGGAACTTTATGAACCCAAGTTTGAGTCTTCTCTCTTTTTCTTTCACCCTCATTAGGGCTTGTTTTACAACGTATAGTAGAATCATGGCTTGCCAAGGGGTGGCATCATAGCTAGAAGAGTGATGCATAAGACCCAAAACTTCAAGAATAAGGGACAATATTTCGGAACCTCGACCTTGCAAAATCTACTTCTATTTTGATGGAAGAGATCATTGATTATGCACTTGTTTGTGTTTCTAAATGTTGAGAAGTACCATTCCCGTAGTCAATATGTGAGAATAATTTTGCTCCACCTAACACATTTGGAAGAGTTAAAGTTTGACATGGAAGGGCCATGTTGACCAAATTCCCTTAGTAAATTCTAGTTTACTTTTTGAACAATATTCTATGTTCTTAGATTCAAGTTTGGTGATTGTTTCAGTTCTGGATAATGTTATGGATTGTTCTTAAATATGAGTTTGATTGAATCATGTTTCTTATGCATTTCACCAAATTTAATTAACATGTCATTAGGTAATAATGAAAGTTACTTGTCTGGATGAATGTGTTACTACACACACTAACTTCATTCATAAATCACCCATCTAACAACGAATTCAGGTCTATCCAACTTGATTCAGGGCATTGGCACTCCTGGTTGTATGAAGGGTACTAAATTACCATTAAAGAGGTGTTATATTCTCCACATTCTAGAGGAGCGTCATTGAGTCTTAAGGATCACATATGAAACCACTGAAGAAAATAGAGTGGAATATCTTCGCACCACCTCCAAAATAGGAAGCCCGGAGCTATGTTTTGGGGCTAATGGGCTACCTCTCAACTAAGATATGCCTCATGTGACTGACCTGGAGCCAAGTGATTTGACCAATATATTTACTTTGCATGGCAGTTTGGGACATTTAGGTCGAAATATGATACCATGTACTATACGACGCATTGCCTTACCTGTTGTAAGGATTTTATGCCTACAAGAACACTTATAAAGCCTTCTCATTGGAAAATTAGATTTCTATATCAAACCTCGTAAATATACTAAATGACCCTCTTTTCGTAGTGGATTCAAGGAATAATGATGGACCAATCAACCCAAAATTTGGATCATGTAAATACTTATATTTTTGGTTGATGTATCGACAATTTGGCCACATGTTTGTCCACACACATTGCTACCAACCTCTAGGCTAGTTTTACCTTAAAGGCTCACCAACCTGACCCCCCTAATTATCTCATAAATTTTGGAAGACTAGATAGTGCCAGAGAGTTTATATCGAAGATTTTTCGATAAGTATTACATGTCTTTTGGGTTTGAAATTGAACATCGAATTCCCCATGTTCACCACGAATATAGCCTCATTAAATTTGACCATAAAATGCAATTTAATTGATCAATTGGACCTTGGTGACCGCACCAAGCTTTTGGTTTATGTCTAGGACTATGCAATCTGGAATGCAACTATGTTAGTCCGCTTGAGGCCCATTTCCACCCAACCATTTTTGGCGTTATAGTTGATTACTGGGTACAAACATGATGTTTTGTACTTCTGCATTTGGGTGTGCATTTTATATAGCAAGTTGCGCCACTGCAACATACCAACATGAATCCTCAAAGAATGATGTGAATCTTTGTCTATTATGATTCTTCTTCGAAATAGCTTTTTATGGGCCATTGCAAGCGATCTTTTTACCACTCATTTTGTGGATTGTCACTTTGATGAGAAAGTTATTCCGCCGTTAGGGGGTGAAAAGAACATCAATGTTCTTGAAGAATGGTGCAGATTAGCGTGGATGATGCTCATTGGGTCTCATCTTGATCCCCGTACTACATAAGTATGATAAGCAAGTGCGATGTATTTTAGCTTTTAGAATGTTGCTCCAAAAGAATTTCTCTGATCTAGTTAAAGTGACGAGATCATATACCAGTTCTAAACATACTTTTAAGGATATACGCACCTAACAAACATTAAGTAAACATCTGCAAAGGGTGTGTAGCCTCTAAGGAACGTTTGACAACCC